ATATATTATTATTATGTAGATATTTACAGCGCAAACACAAAAGTTCTTAGAAGACAACCAGAAATAAAATTTTTATACAAATTCGATTTCGAGAACCAAACTATCAAGAAATCAACTGGAAAACTTTTATATAAATCTTAATTTAAACCATATACAATAATAAAATTTATTTCTTTTTTTTTATTGTTTACTTTCTCAACCCAATTTTTATTATATTAGGTATTTGTCACACATGAGTACTCATGAGTAACATCCCTAATGGTAATACAAGAATTTAGCCCATGCAAATTGTTGATTGACCAATCAAAATAGTGAATTTGATGACGTAAAAATAAACGTTAAATAAAAACATTTAATATGGGTTTGATTCAATCATTTCACCAACAATTGTTTCGTTAACAAATGGTTCGAATTTAAGAAGTTGGAAGCAACCCTTTGAAATAGTCTAATAAATTAAATTGTACTACTCGAAAATGTATTTAAAGGGTTAGTTTTCTACTTGGTTGAAGAATAACTCTCTTCCTAACTTTTCTCTTGACCATATCTCTCAATACAATCAAAATATAATGAATGTTGACAAAATGATTGTAAACGCGACCAATTTAAGATATATGATTAAGGCAAAACATGAACGATTTATGAAAAAATCAAACAAATTTATTTAATAAAAACAAAATTTACAACTCAAAAATTTTTTTTGCATGTTCTAATAAAATTTCCATCATTACTGCATCATTTGTTGCTGATTCAACATTACCCAGATCATCATCAACTGTATTTTCGTTATTTTGATGAATTCATTTTCGTTTAATCTTTTCGTCATACTTTCTTTTAGTGCGTTGACTTTTTTTTTTGATTTCGACTTGAAGATAGTCCAAGCATACCAAATATTTAGATTGGCACCTTTGTAGTGATTGTAATAACCATGCAAACGACGAGAATGAACGAAGAGAAATTACTGGCTCTGCGCGTTTAAAGATTATGAAAAGTTGTCATGTAGCTTAGCTTTGGGGGGTAAAGAATTCTCATTGTATCTTTGTTTGTTTTTGGCGATATTCAGCTTTTAACTAACAGCCAATTTCGTGAACTATCATCATTAGGCTACCAAAGTTCTTTTCTTTCTCAAAATTGGATCCTCATTTTCGCTATTTTTTTATTTTTTTAAATGTTAAATATTAAAAATAAACTACCGGAGCAATTGCAATTGCATGGAAGGAGCTGGACCCGAAGCCATCCGTGAGTATTACCTATCCTTTGGTCACGCTATCTTCTTTTTTCTCAAATGGTTTCCGATTTCTATCATGTTCCCATTAGCTCGTTGTTACATTTAATTTTCTCAATTGAAGCCATTTTTATCATCAAGTGAAAAAGTGAAAATTTAACCAAAAAATTTCCCGTGTATATAGCTAAATTATCTGACGGGTAGGTTTTAGTATACCGATAAAAATATACTATTTTTTCAAAAATTATATTTCAATTAATAAATTAGTGAATGAAAGTTTTATTGTTTTCATATACAGTATGTACATGATTTTTTAAATCATTAAATAATAATTACAAGTTAATTTTTATGCTAATAATAAAAAATAATAAAAAATATGCATATATAACAATTAATTAAATAAGTTGCACTCTTTTGTAAAAATCGAATTTGCTACATTCAAACCAATGCAATATCAGCAGGAGTTGAATGCATAGAATTGAATTCTATTATGAGATTTGTTATCATACAAACAACATATATTGAAATTAAATAATATCCCCAAGGTCTTGTCATATGATAACCATTATAAGGCAAATAAATTAAAGCTGAACATAATCCAATTAATAGTCCAAATACTGAAACCAATAAATTTATATCTATGTTAATCTTAGTTGAATGTCCGGTTGTAATTGTTGTATAAGTTGCACTAATACCAATTCCAAATAAAATATCTGTAAAAATATAAATCAAAAAATGTTTATTTTTAAGTTTTATTTTTTTCATCCAAATAAAATAGAATATATAATAATAACTTACTTAACATAGGCCCACCAAAACATGCACTTATAGCCATCATTGGTGAACCCATTTTTGCAGTAGTAATATTAGCAACAAAATCTCCTAAACTATTTCCCTATTTTTAAAATCGCATACATAGATATGTGTATATATATATATATTCAAGAATGATAAGAATGATTTTAATAAAATAAATTGATTTTTTCTTTCTTTCATATTGAAACATACCATTGCAAAAATTGTTAGTCCAAGTATAGCATCAGATACTTCAATTATTAGACCTACAGCCTAATTAACAATAAAAAAAGTAATTGTTGTATAACAAAAAAAAACTCCATTTAAAATCACAATATAATTATTTATTAAGTTTTTTTTAAAAAACAATACTTACTTGAAGTAGACCTACTACCTCATTTGCAATAAGAAATACCCAAACCATTGCAACAACAAATCCCATGAAACAAAGTAATGAATAAAATTTTGGTGGTTTATTCTTATCTGTAAATAAAAAACAAAAGATTGATGAAGCCAATCCAAAAATGAAAGCATATGATACAGTAGTAACAATTGAATCATCATCAGCTATTAATTAAAAATAAAACATTAATATATATTAGTATTTTTTTTTTAAAAAAGGATATTCATTTTAAAGAATATATGCATTTACCAAATAAAACACTTGATATAAATATTGGTGCAAATAGAAATTGTATGGAAGTCAACCATTTATTCCAACCATCTGTCCTTTCCTCCTCTTTCACATCTCTTATGCCTGTATTTGCATCATTATCAATAACAATAGAAGGACGTTCTAAATTATTTTCATTCTTGTTTTCATTTTCTGAAATCGGGTCATTTGTTTCCACAACAGGCAATGTAAGCGTAAGCAAAAGGATGGCAGGAATGGCCATTAATGATGTTAATTTTGCAAAAAAAGATTTCTGTGAAAATCCTGTAACTGAAGGAAATAAAGTTTCTTGCACCTTCGTCAACCAAGTTGATTCGTCATTGGTGACATGAGGAAATGAAGGTGGTGCACTAGGTGAAGTACATGTTGTTCCATATCTTGATTCTAAAAACAAAGGAGATACTGGAGCAGTATCATTAACTGGTAGAGCTTTTGGTGACAATGAGAGTGGTGATGAACGTATTGATGATTCAGGCGAAAGAGCAGCTCCTTTATTTGACAGTGACGAAGTCACCATTAGATGCGGAACATTCAAATTGTTTATTGTTTCGTTGTCTCTGTTGCCGTCATTATCGTTGTTATTATTTAGACCAGAATCTTGAGAATTTGTAATGTTTAGATTGGAGGTTAAACTAGACGAGGAAGATCCGTCAATTTTTGCCAATGTTGGAGCACTAATATTAATTTGGGGGGTGTTTAAATCATCATCTACAAGTGATTGATTAACAGGACCTGCAAAACTAGACCATGGCTTTCTTCTTGGATTATCATTAATGGAACTATATGATGGCATTGTTGTACTACGCATTTGTCTATTTGGTCGACGATTATAATATTCATTATGGTGACGTGTAGGTAATCTAAATCTTCCTGCATTGACATCATCGCGAAACTAATAACAAAAATGCACATATATATTATATATAAATTAATAAAACCAAAAAAAAAGCAGTAAAGAAAATATATATCAAAAGATAAAAAACATTAAACAATTGTTTTACCTCTATTGCACCAAGTAATGAAGGCCTCACGCCTCGATGTATTGATCTTGTACTTCTACCTGACTTATTTTGATGGAATTCAATTGGAGTTAAGGATCTTTGTGATTCTTGGTCTATATAAGTTTCCCTACTACTAATATTATCAGTTCGATTATCAGATAATAAAGGTTCTGTTTCGTTGGATGTGTCATAACCATATGCATCTTGATTTATATATTTATGTATGTGTGTATGTATGTATGTATGCACACTAGTTAGTTGGATCAATTGATACAATAATTATATTATTATTATTATTATTATTATTATTATTATTATTATTATTATTATTAAATTATCTTACCAAAAACTTCATTTTCATTCTTTTCATTCTTTTCATACCAAGCTACAAATAACACCGCACCAACATAGGTAAAATAAAATGAGACCAAGACGATGCCTTCCCATAAATGAATTTCTCCGTCATATATTATCATGAAGGTAAATGAGATAGCACCAGTGAAAAAAATTAGATCACGTAGAAATGGCAATCTGGTGACATGAAATGGTGTTATTACCGCCATAGTTCCAGCCACCACAAAAGTGATGAAGCTTGCTGCTCCAAGAAGTTCACCAATAGCTAAAGAGCCGTATCCATGTGTCACAGCACTGAAAGTACTGAAAACATCTGGTGATCCATTTCCAAATGCCAAAAATGTTACGCCGGCCTTTTTATTATACCAAATTGTTATTATTAAAAAAAGATGATTTATCAATATATAGATTATACATAATAAACATATATATATGTGTGTAACTTTTTAACATTTACCATGCTTTCGGATAGACTCAATTTAGAAGCAATCGTGTATAGATTTGGACAAAAAAAATCAGAGGCAGCGATTCCAATGAATCCAAACAAAAATAGAAGCCATAGAAACTATTAATGTATTATTTTGTAAGTATATAAAATTATTTAAAACTGTATATTATATGTATAAATGTATAGTCACCAAAGTTGTCAGTGCAAAAAATTGCCAATTTTGTAAATCACAAAAATAATACTTTAAATAATTGACCAAGGAAGAGGGATTAGCACAATATTCACGTACAAAAGCACATTTGTTTGGTTGTTTATAAATATCATTGCACTAAAATTAAAAAATATTAAAAAATTAACTTTAAATAACTGAAAAAAATTTTCATCTATATATATATAATGATGATATAAAATTTTTAAAAACACGTACCTCAGAAAATAATTTGGAATGGCTATTTATTGGACTAAAATTCGTTTCATTTGAAAATATTGAATGCTTTTGTAAAGAAATTCCATTAATGTCACTCAAAGAATTATGGTTCCTATCAATCAAATAATACTGTTTCCATGAAGCTTGGATATAGTTGAAAACGATAAATAAATAAATTAACGAAAAAAAAGATTTACGACTAATTGAAATCATGTTAAAATAAATAAATTGTAAATCCACTAAATGAAAAATGTTGGAGCATGCTTAGTCATTTTTTTATTAATAATACGATAACAATAACTCAATTGAGTAAATGTGGCAAAAAAGTTGTAAAAATACACAAGATATAGTTCCAGTTAATATGAAATCCAAAATCTTATCATTGTGGCACGTGATAATTACATTATGAATGATGTAATCAATTAAAAATTAATAAATATGGCCTGCTTTATTTTATAAATTCTAAAAATGGTAATATAAGTTAATAATTAAAATCTAGTAATTGCTGCGAAAAAGTTGAGTCTCTTACAAAAGACCAAATGAAAGGTAAATTTTATAAACTTTTATCATAAGAAATCATCTTCTACTTATGAAGAAAAAATATGGATAGATAGTAGAAGTTATAATTAATTTAATCAAACAAATAAATTTTTATTTTAGTAATATTAGAACTCTGCCTTATGAAAATTGATTTTTATACAATATTACATTTTCAACCAATTATACAAATGAAGAATCTGCCAGTGAATTCCTTGGTTCATTTTCTAATATAATTAATGAAAGATTGTGGAAAGATTTATATGACAGATGAAGGTGCTGATGTTATAATAGAAAAGCATTTGGTTACTTGTATAAAAAGTGATGGTATCATGGAGCCAAATTTAAGCTAACTTCTGGGTGATGCTCGGACAATTAGTAAATTTTTTTGGGAAATGTGGTAAGAATTATTCATCAATGGTTTTGCTTCTGATGGAGCAGCTGTAACAAAAAGGTGAAAGTTAATCATTGTGTGCATGCAAAGATACAAGTAGAAAAATTGAATATGGGGCATACTGTAACAAAACCAGACAAAGTGAACATGGTGTTACCAAGAATTTCAGGGATCAAATTTATTAATTGTATTTACAATTTTTTATTTTAAGCTAAGCTAACAATCAATTTGTCATTATTATAACAAATAAAGACAATCTAAAGAATATTTAAAATGAAATGTTAAAAACAACTAAAAAATTAGATATATATCAATTAACAGATAATCTCAATATCCATAGCCTCAGATTACTAAATATTCAATGTTTAATCTACTTAATTATTAAAAATCTAAACTAAGCAAGAAAGATTAACTTTTTATAATAAAAACTTATTATTTAGACAACACAAATTTTCAGATGAAGTAAAAACAATTAAAATCAAATTAATATATATTGAGAAAGAAAAATCCTTTAAACCTTTCCAAACCATAATGGACATGACCTTTTTCTATCTCTTGTTTTACTGACCAACTGCCCAAATTCTTGAGTGCTTAATGTTTTTTCCTTCAATGTAGGTTTTATTTCCAATCGACTTGGTACATGAAGCTTTTCATAAAAATTATTAAATGATCTTGTAAAGATATCTTTTATTCCTAATAGCAATCCTATATCATCAACAAATGAATAAATATCTTTGAAATCTGCAGGAATCTTGATTTGTCCTAGATGTGACATTGTGCAAGTAGCCCTACCAGCTAAATCCATCACATAGAAATCCACAGTATACTCAATGCATTGAAATCCTAATATTTCAATATCTGCACCTTTAGCTATGGATGAGTCCATACAATCCTTCATAAAAGTACTTAACCAGATCAAATCATTTGAATTTTTGAAAACATTATTTCTTTCAGAAGGTGGACTTACTTCTCCAACAAAAATCACCGAATCAATTTGTTGTTGATGTATTAAAGAAACTGTGAAATCAGGTTGCTTTGCTCTACTGGCTAAGTTTCTTATTTTGCTTTCATGTAATTCAGTATTAGGCCATTGTACTAAGGTCTTGTCTGGATCATGAAAAAGTCCTTTCATTATTCTGTCCAGATTATTTGTAATTAATGTGATTTCACTGGGGTCATTTCAGATTTTTGAAATAGGCAATGTTCTTAAAAGATCTAATATAATAAACCAAGATTATCTTTTATGATTTTTTCTTTCAAAAGTTTTACACATAACCAATCAACAGCTACATCTCTGGAATCATTTTTCCCCATTTTAATTGCTTTTCTAAAAGTATAAACAGGTTTATCACCCAATATTATTTTTGGAAGTATTAATGTTTGTTGTAGATGCAGTTCTTCTAATAATGTAATGCCAAAGGATCTATAAATGCTGGTCGCAATTCTTGGTGATGGTTGCGACATATAAAAATGGTTTGCAACACTTGGTTGCAGCCACCTTTGCAACCACTTTGGTTTCCTTTTTTGGATTGTGACATGGAACACTAAAAGGATCTTATTATTGTTTTGGAATAAGAACTGGGAATAAGCAATAGGATGTATGATAGTGATAATATTTCATAAGTATTTGATTCAACAAGCAGTTGTTTCTCTTTTCCAATTTCTAATGAGACATCCTGATATGTTTCTAATAATGTTCTGATATTGATTCCATTTATCTTGAGTTCATATCTCATTTCATCTGAAATCAATTAATATATATAAATAACACTAATAAATAAATAATACTAAGATCATATAATAATAAACACACCAGATTTATTTTTAATAGTATCATCAACATTGCTAACATCTTCTAGTGGTATCCGACTGAATAAAAATAGTATAAATTAACTATAGAGAATATAGGTAACTACTATAACAAATATTAAAATCTTACCTTCATGGTTTCTTATGCTTGTAATTGTAAATAAACAATTGTATAGTAAAGTTATGGTTAGTATAAATCCATTAATTAATTTATTTATCTATTTGAAGATATTATAATTTACTTACTGATGTATCTTTGATTGATGTTTTATTTTTTCTTTGTTTTGATTGTAAAAAAATTTTTTTTAATAAACATGTGAAAATATTTTATTTTTATCATTATTATATTAACTAGAGTGATGACAAGTGGTGATAACCACCACTCTTAAAACACTTATTTGGTCAATGCCTCCCCTTTGTTATTTCTCTTTTTGGTTGAAAAAGACATCTTAGAATAAAAAAGAACAAGAGCTGCATGTCACAGATCAGATTGATAAATTTTCAAATATTAATTTTTTTATTGTATGTATATTACATAATAAAAAAATAAAAATAAAAATAAAAAGTAAAAATAAAAAGTAAATGAAAATGATTGACTGAATGACAGAGAAAACAATAATTGGCAAACAACAGAGAAGAAAGAAAGAACATGGTGGTTTAAACAGTGATTGCTAATTTTCAGGGATGGATCAAAGATAAAAAACTAAGATATTTTTCATTACAATTTGTTTAAACCATTTTGATTAATCATCTCAAGTCTAGTGTACTCATCCATAACACTTTTTGAGCATCTAATTTGCATGAAATCAAAGTTCAAGATTTGTAGCTTGTCCAAAGACTTGGCTCTGGTCAATGCAATGTAAACTTGCCCTTTGGCAAACATGTTTTCATCTATAGAAATGGTTATGTTAGGTAGCATCAACCCTTGTGTTTTATGGACTGTGAGTGCAAAGGTGTTCTGGAGCGGAAACTGTTTCCTAGAGGCTCTCTTTCCATTGATTTCAAAGTAGCTTGTTTCTTTTCGGATCACCACTTTGCTGATGCTGTAAGCAGTTGGAAAAGTAACTTCTAAATTTTCACGGCCAAAGATCCTTGTAATGATTCCTACTGTTCCATTACAAATACTTTCTTCAAACAGCTTATTGTTTAGGAACATGACTCAAGCACCCTCTTGAAGGTAAATTTCTTTGGGCAAATTTGTGGAATTTTTGAATTGCTTGATGGAATGATTTTCATCTAATATTTCATAATTTAGGGTGTCTTCTGAGATGGAGACAATTGGATCATTGCATGTTTTGTCAAAGGGCAAGGAATTACAAAGTAATGTGTTGATAGAAAAAATTCTTATTTGACATCTCAACAGAGTCTCTCGATTTTTTATTCATTAACATCAATATTGTTTGTTTTATACACATGTATTCCTTACCATCTTCCATTATGAACCTTCCAGTTGTTTGAATGATTGTATCTTTGTCAAATTCTGATACTAACAAATCTGGACCCATGAATCCCTTGAACGTTATCTGTTTTAGTTTGTCATCTTTGAGGTACACACCATTTCCTTCTATTGTTTTGTTGTTTATTTTAATGTTTTTAATGAATAAGAAAGTGATTAATATGGAGCTCATAATGACAAGTAAATAAAAATAAGATGGTAGTGGGTAAGCAATAAATTTTTGGAGAACGAAATAAATTTCAGAAAAAATTACACAGGCTCAAAAATAATGATATGCCACAATTTGCTTTAAACTGGATATGGAAAAAAACTTTTAAAGAAAAACAGATATTATGTGAACATATATTAGAGTGAGCATACATGGGCCAACAATAACATTATTAACATGCATTTACATACAATTAATGTTAACATCGTTACTTTCATTAAAAATGGTAAGTAATTAAAGTTTTGAAAAACTTCTTTTGGACAACAAATGGATCAATGTTAGCATTAGTGTGTGCAAAAGAAAAAAAAGAATAATAGTAGTAACAATGAGTAAAAAAATAGTATTTATTATTATTAAATTGAGATATTTTTAAGAGCAAAATTGGAAAAACTGGATTTTCAAAGTACAATTTCAAACCCTACTTTTACTTGGTTTGGTTGGACACAGCAACAAAAGGCAGATCATCTAATCCACAACATTGACATGGGTAATAGCAATAGTTTACATAGTTGAATTTGAGTTCACCTTTAATCTTTTTTAAAGGTGATGATCATTTTCATGAATCAATATCCAGACATTCAAAAAGCATTTTCAATAACAAACACCTTGAAATTTTAACCTCATGTGTTAAAAAAGTAGATTCTCAGCTACTCAGTAATTAGCATTCAGCATCATTGATTCATTGAATACTGAATTCTTTATACAACACTTTTACTTTTGTGAAACAGCAAAATCCTTTTTTGTAGGAATTTTTAATATTTTTGTTGATGATCATACTTGAAATATGGGGTATGCTGCAACAAAACCAGACAAAGTGAACATTGGTATTACCAAGAATTACAGGGTTCAAATTTAGTCATTTGTAATGTGATTATATAATTAACAGTTTTATAATATCCCATTTGCTATCTTAAGTGATATATAGAATTACCCCTATATAAAAATAGTTAATATGAAGCTCATCTACTATGGAACCAAAGAATTACAGCACCATTAGAAGTATTCTGAAAAAAGAACAAGGTGAAAAAATTGCTCCTTACATTTTTAAATTAGCATATACTAAATCTTTGCAAACATATTTAGACAAAGAAAGGATTACCTATGAAATTTACCAAGAAAAATAATAAGCATTAAGAAAAGAAAGCAGAATGAAGATGTGTTATTATCCAACAAAAAGCAAAAATCCTTAGAAGGAAAATAATCTTATTATTACAATATTGATTTATTTTTTTCCTTTTAATTTTATCAACATGAATCATGGCAATGAAAACCTAACAAAGTTATATGGGCTATTCATAATCAAATAGATTTACCATCAAATTTTTCTTTATTCTTTGAAATATTCATTAGCAGCTTTGGCAAAATCTACATCTTTTAAGTCAAAGACAGTAGTTTTAACATGATTACATTCATAATCAGGAGGAACATAAATCTTATTTATTATCATTGGATTATCATCAATAAGATATCAAAAGCCAGGATATTTTCTTTAACTTTCATTTAAAGGAAAATAATTATCATAATCTTTTTTACAATCCTTACAAATAAAAACTATATCAGTGTAACCATCAGGAGTATGATGCCATCAACTGTCAATTACCAAGTCTATACAGTCAGTGATGATAAGATTTGGGTTGTCCTCCAAGTCTTGTGATGAACTGATAATGATCATTAGTCCATCCTTTTTCCAGCCAGATAGCAAAAATGCCAACACACCAGCTTTAGCCATCATCTCTTCTTCTTCTTGACAATGGTGTGATCAATTTTGATAAACCTCAGGGCCTTGGCCCCCAGGTTCAGTTGCATCATTTACATCATTGGACGCAAGCATGGTCAAATTAGCCTTATATGCATGAGGAAAAGGTGAGAATGGTTGGATGATAATACAGTTGCAATCACTTGATTGCAACCAATTTTGGTTCACAACATGAAATGCTACCTGGTAGTCAAATACAAATGTTGCAGATTGAGTTGCTTTGTGCATTTCCAAAGTAAGCCTGAGCATGTGTACAACCTTCCACACATGTGCAAATGTCCAACAGATTTTCTTACTTGACATTTATTCAATGACAATATTTAATAATGGTGACAACATGAAAGCATATATACCAATTAAGGTTTCTGGTCGAAACTGCTTCTATTAGTAGCCGAAATTGCCCAAATACTTTGGGCAAAAATTATTTTTTT